CAGAAAAGATTCAGATAACTTATGGACAGTTAATTTATATCAAAAATATTACTTGTAAATTGCAAACGAATTAGATCTTTTTTTTTAAATTTTGCATTCATAAAAATAAGTGAAGCACAACTACCTTTCATTATTTCTTTTGCTTACACAACTGTGTGCGTATTGGGTATTTACCTCAGCACTCTTTGATATGCTTAAATCTCGTCATTCTCTCAAAAAATTACAAACAAAATTTACTTTTTTCATTTGTAAGCAAATAGTTTCTGAACAAACCATCACTTCTTGGCAAAAAAACAAAGCAAAATCAGCCACAGCACAATTTTTTAGATATTTATCTCGCTTTGTAGCGATATGTAATCAAAAGTTATCACTATATTTTGATAAAATATTTGCAAAAAAGATTTTGCTTTTGCTTCTTTACGCTGAAATTTTAGTTAACTGAGGAAGAAGGCGACAAGCTATCGGTGGTGGCTTGTACTTGTTGCCAGCTGAACAAGGAAGGAGACGAAGGCGATAATCCCACCGTTCGAATTACTTATCAGTTGATAATGAGTGAAAGTAGCATAAAAATTCACTTACGCAAGTTATTATTCGTTTTGACGTTTATGCTAATTGCAGCATTTAGCAATTGGATTGCTTTGGCTTATATCCACGATTTTGTTGGCAGGTTTATGCTTCACTTTTGTGTACAAAGCTTGAAAGTGACAAGTGAAAAAATCATTTTACGCATTTTGTTAAATCATTTTTTAATTATTGCATAATAGAGTTGTTAGTAATTGACTAATTCATGAGAAAAAAGCATTCATAAATCAAATAATACTTTGATAGATAAGTACTAATCTGTTTTCAGTCCTTCTCTTTCTTTCAGTTCTTTGCTTTTTTCACTTCCAAACTTCCATTTACGTTTCAGAAATGCTTTGCCAGACATAGCTTTTGCAATTATGCCTGAATTACTTTGGACATTGAAAGTTGGTGATGCAATGGTTACACTTTGTTCTGTTTCATTTTTTGCCTTACTTTTCCTTCATAAAAATCGCTTGATTATTATTCAACGAACAGCTTTTATAGTTGGTGTGTTTTCTGTTTTTTTTGACATTTATTCCAAAAATTTGTTATTACTTTTTTAGACACATAGAATAGTAAGTGAAAATAAGCTTTTGAACGATTTCAGTTTATGCAAACTTCTCAAAAATTTACATCTTATGAATTCACATTTCTCAAACAGTTAGTCCCTCTCAGCTTGAAAGTAATTTCATTGCTATCAATCACTTAAAATGATCATTTCCTTGCAATTCGTGGTTCAGAAATCAAAATATTAAATTTTGTTAAAAACAGATTCAGAGTATTTTTTGGTTGTGAGTAGTCTTTCGACTTAATTTTAATTTAATCATTACAAAGAATAAGTCTGTTTTAATTATCAAGTTATAGGAGGATTTCCCAAGTAATTGTGTACATAATGATTGCAGCCTGTTTGTATACAATGCGGACAATATCATTATTATGTACACAGTTACCCTCAGGTTATATTGATAACAGCGAAAGATGTCAAGCACAAAATAATTATTCGGGTCAAGACTGGAATGTAATGATATGGCGAGTTTTTTCTCAGGCAACGAAACTTGGATTCCAGGTTCAAGCATAGGTTTCTTGCTAATTTTTAAGCAATTTAGCAAACTTTATATGCTTTTGCTGCAGTATTAATCAAATTTGATGACTACAATTAAGGCACAGTATTAATGAATTCCTGAATCATAAAACTCTACTAGTGATGTTAATTCGAAATAATGCAATTTAAACGTTCACTTAAAAACTAACTCATTTCATCTCACTTGACATTTAATATTAGCATTATCTTTTTCTGACTATAGTACCCTCAATTTTTCTTCCTTTCATATTTTTTCTTCATTTCTGCATACTTATACTCAACTTTGTTGTAATTTGATCATTTTACATTGAGTTTTACCAAGTTAATATGATTCTGCAATCATTAATATAAAATAAATTATTAAAAAGGCTTGAGCTCATATAATTTTTCAAAATGCGAGTATTCTTCAGGACATAGATGATAAGATGTTATGTGGGGATTTATTGTTCTCAGGTCATACTTTAGCAATGGTCGTTAGTTCTTTAACAGTTGCGTATTACTTACCTAATTCACTACGACTACTGAGGTAACAAATTTTCAAATTGCTTCAATACATTACTATGTAATAGCAACTTTTATGCGGAAGTTTTAGGTATATACCATGGATATCAGCATGGATTGGTATGATCTGTATGGTTATTAGCAGAACGCATTATACTGTTGATGTTATTTTTGCATATTGGTTGTCAACGGCTGTATTTAAGTAAGTATGTGATTAGTATGTATGAATGTTTCCCAAAAAGAAATCCGAATAATCTAATTAACACTGAATGATTTTTGATTATATGAATTGATTGTTGAATAATTACTTCCCATCAGACTTGGCTAACGAAAGAACTTTGTACTATATGTCAATATCTCTTCTTTGCTTTCTAAGTTAGTTTAAATTTCAAACAGACCAAAAAAATCAGCAAATATATGTTAGATAATTGCAAAAGTAACGCTGAAAACAAAGGAAGAAATGAAGTTTTGAGAAAAAAGACAGAAAAAACACCTCAGTGAGCAAGCAGTCATTTGACTTAAAAACTGACTGATATTTTGTTAGTTTCATATTTGAGATTTAGAAATAAAAAACAGATAAATAACACTATGAATACTTGGGAAGCACTTTTTGAGCAGCAGAAATAATCAGATGAAATTAAGGCGGGAGGGAGCTGTGGTGTTTCTGCTGAAGCAATGAAATTTAGAGGCTTCAATGAGAACAAATTTCGCTTTCAAGAAAATTACGAAAAATATTTAATACGTATATTCTGAATGCATACCGACAGTTTTCAGGGCTATTATTTGCAAAAATGTTTTTGCATTACTTTTTAAATTATTTTTATTGTACTGCTCAGAGGTGTCTTTTGCATTGAAGAATAGCTCTATTCTATACTAAATTCATTTGTTTACTGCAAAATAATTTGCACATTGTCTTTTTACTGCATAATTAAAATTCAGTGCTAATTAGCTTTGAAAAGTTGCACGCAAGCTTTTTTCACGTTTTCTTCCTACTCAAAGGCTTTTCCAGTCATTTTCGAGCAACTAATCGCCAGCACTTTTTTCTGATTTTATTTTGTATAAGCAAAGTCTTTGGTATTTTCAGAATAAAATTCACAATTACTCTTTCAGTCTTTATTACTCTTTTTGCGAGATTGACTTGACAAATCGTAGATCATCGATACTTCATCAGCTGTGGATGATTCGAGTGGTTAATTGGCTCGAAGTTGATATTCCATCTGGAAGGTTCATTTTGTTCATTCATTTAAAAAAATGCAAGTGTCTTATAATATACTAAAAAGAAAAATTATCGCAAAATTATTTGAAAATACAAGTTTCATTAAAATGAAGCAAGTAAAGACACTTTATATTGATTTCTACCTTTTATAATTAACAAATCTCAAAACCAACATTTGACTTTACTCATTTTGTCCATTACTTCCGTACATAATTAATGAAAATATTTCTATATATAGATGTAAGGTAAATTTTGCTATCATTTCAATAAATTTGATTAAATTTGTAAAATGCATACTTGGAAAGCATAATGCTTACATATGCAAAAAGTGACTGCAAAAATTCAAAGTATTGAAGTTGTTAGTTTGAAAAAATGGCAAACAATATATGAAATAAGCATTGAAGCCTTTCCTTTTCGTATGGACTTGAATTTTTTATACTAAATCTCAGTCACTAACTCCAAGAAATTTGAGATGTGTTTGGGAGTTTTGAGAAGAGGCATGAGAACTATAAATAACTTACTCTTTTATATATGAAATGTTTTCTGAGCTGTTCTACTTCAGTCTAATTATGTCACATTATGCTTTTTTAAATAAAATATTACCGCCAGAAAATTTCAAGAGCTTTATTTTAGAATTAAGCTGAACTTTTCACTCACATACATATTCAATCACAAAATAGCATATTTAAGAGAAGAAATACTTTTTTATGTATTACTTTTTTGATATTTACTTACTTTTATTAAAATGCTAAATAGTTTACTATAATGTTATAGCTAATGATAGTAGGTGAAAAGTTGTCTTTTTCCTTTTTGACTACTAAGTAACTGGATTGAATTCATGTGAATTATGATCAACTTTTAACATTTTGAAATATTAAATTAAAAGTTCAGTTTGTTGCTTAAGAATCGAGAATCATTTTGAATTTCCATTCGTCGTTTGTTTCTACAAATGGTGCAGTAGTCCTTCAAGGAGTCGCTGCTGCTCGCAAAACAATTATTCTTTTCATGACAAGCAACAACAGCAACAAGTTCACGTTTCAAGTGTTTTGCCTCTATGATCTCAACTGGAAACGCTAGAATGCGTGCACACAAGTTGATTTAAATTTAAAGTTAGACTGAGCTATTAAAATGTGTTCAACAAATTTGTAATATTCAAATATCAAATGAAATGTGCCATCTTGTTTTCTCGGTTTGCTTCTAATTTGTTTCTCAGTTTTTTCCTTTAATCTTGTGAAAGCTTTAGATTGAAAGTTGGGATGTAATGAAGTTAATAATTAGGACAGTTTCTTATTTGTCATTACTTACGATAGTTATTGTTAGTATGAAATTATTGTTTCTGACTTGTGACGAAGATCTCAGGATGCTTTCCATCAATTATCGGATAATAAAAACTTTTCTAAAATGATTTAAAGTTCTTTCGCTACGTAAAACAATCTGAAAGTAACTTCTTGTTCATTTCCTGCAAAATTTCATAGAACTTGTTTTTTTATGCCATGGTTTATTTATTCATCCATTTATTTTTTCCCTTTAACCTGAATTTGTTCACTGTTTCTTAAATTTACGCCAACAACTTTATTCTGTTACCTGCGTGAAATCGACATTGTATTGTGAATATTTTTTTAATTCTTAAAAACGGGATAATTGAGGCATTTCACTGCAAATTTTCATGGATTTAATTTCTAAAATTAAATAATGCAATGTTTTAGCATTTATAAATATGAATTCATAAAGTTTTGCGTTTAATTTCTGAATAGTAATATTATTATCTGCTCTGTATGCACAGATTACTGCTTGTTTTTCATGGCACTATTGAACTGTACAATTATTTGTTTCAAATATAGTTAATTTCTTGCCATTTACCCTATGAACTATGACTTACTTGTAACTGTTTCAAATGCCTCAAGTATTAATTATCCTTCGTTCTGCTTTGAAAGTTTTTGTTTGTGTTTGTTAAGTAAGTTATTCAAACGCATCACTTCCATTTTTTTGCAATTTTGAGATTTGTAAAATGATAGAAGAGACGAACAAACAAAAACTAGTCTTACTTATTATCCTTGAAGTACTTTGATCGGGTTATTTGGTGAAACATTTCAATACTTGTCATCGACTGCTTGCTCAGTTCCATGTTCATGAATCATATCAAGATTTGTAGATATTCATTATTGGTAAAAGAGTTGTGAATGATAAAAACTTTACGTATTCAAGAATGTTACGTAGTTAATGAAACCAGCACCAAAGCATTTGGTTTTTCTTTGAGGATAGACTGACTGCTTCAACCGTTAAGTGTTTGAAATTGTAAAAGTTTCACATGAAGTGAGTCTTAATAAGTAAGCACATACTTTGAAGAAATAACTGCTCCTTACATTGATGGCTTGCATTTCGTTAGCAAGTGGAGCAATCACTGCTAAATAATAAAGTTAATGGAGTATCTGTGACTTTATGAAGCGATTTTGCAATGGATGAAGTTTAGTATTCACTGTAATACCAAAGCTGAAAATCACAGTTTGGAGACTACTTCCGATATTCGCTAACGGGATAAACTACAATTATATTTGATGGTGTGTTTTTACGATTCTCGATTAGCGTAATTAAACTGTTTTCATGACGTAAGTTTCATTCACTGCTTTAATGCTTCTATAGCACAACCTTCTGTTCTACAACATAAGATTAAGCTGATGTCTGTTACTATAAGTGGATAACAGCAATAATGCAATAAAATTTCCTACAGCTTTTTAGGTAGCAATAATTTGTGAATTGATAAATATTTTCATGCATATCACAAAAATTTGCTATTATTTTCATTGCAGAATGGTATGCTTAACAATCAGAGTACACTTTCTTTAAAAAAAAATTGAGAACGAAGCAAAAACCAACTTGTTGTCTGTATAAATTGACCATTGAAATTCCCCTCAAACAGTACAGTCCATTCCAACAAATTCGTGGAAGCAACAGTTATAAATGAAAGACAACTTCTGACTTCAGTACTATCATAGTTCGTGAAGAGATGCATTGTTGCATGAAATTGTTGCATTGTATGTATTTCCCGTTCATTTGGCACTCATCCAATGACTCTCATCAGACTAGTAGTAATAGCGATGAATATAGTGTAAGTGTTAATGTTTTACGATGTGTAGATAGAATGCTGATAGGACGTTCATCTTGAGCGTGAAACGTTGCTAGAATTTTCTTTTTACTTTTTGTGATGCATAACTTTGTAAAACACGTGAAGGATTTGTGTTCAGCTGTTCAATAAAGTTAGTGCTAGTATAGTCTTCGGTTCTACAACATGAGATTAGATTGTGTTTGAAATGAAACTAAATACTGATGAGCAAGTGAATAATTAAGTTATCGATTAGTGGTATTTTAATCTTATTCGTTGCTGTGATTATGTTATTAATTTATAACGATGTTATGGACATGATGAGGGACATGTCAAAGAGTTCTGGAAGAATGTCTGCTTGCTTAAGAAATAATATCTGTATAAGGCTTGGCTTACTACTCAAAATGGTTTTAGCAATTTTTTTTTCAGAAGTTTGCTGAAGAATCAGCAATAGATTTTGCATTTGTCTTGTGTACAATTTGGTCTGCTTCATTCTTGAAATGTGTTTGGATTCACTGTAACATGACATGATATTATCACGGAATGTACAGTAGCTGGGAATATGACAGTTGTCTGATTGGTTTCGTCGATAACTCGTGGTGTTCTATGGTTTGAGTGTAAATATGATTCATTTTGCTGCATTTCGGTTTTGAACTTGTTTTTGTTACAAGGAAAAGTGATCTTGATAGTAATATTGACTCTACTAACGAATAAGATGAATTAGCGAGTTCAAATTGTTGAACGTTAAAAGCACTGGAGTGGCTAACATGTTCTGTTGACGCCGATATTATAATTAACCATTTAACTTAGTTGTTTTGTAAAAGTTTTTATTCATTGAAAGCTCACTTCGAGTTACTCATTTTTCATCGATTTTAGTTCTTTATGTTTCTTTATATCTTTGTCTCAATTATTTCAATTACAGGTTATTGCAGTTGTACAAAAGTATTTGGAATATCGATTATTACTACTTGTACGAGTTATACTGTACAAATAAGTATGCAGAGAAATGACATATTTATTTGTTTTTGCAATCCTGAAAGTGAACTTTTGAGGTTAAAAGTTTCGAACAACATATGAGATGGAATGTAGTCTTCAATTCACTTTTTTCTGCTGTATGATTTGAAGCATTTACTTTAACTCGAAGAAAAATTGATTCCACTGCAAGAAATAGAAAAACTATAGAGCACATTAAGTAGAAAAATCGTTTTACTGCTACTGCCTCATGGAGACGAGATTTTATTTGAGGTAAATGGATCGGTAAAGTAAGATTGTGATTGAATTATTATCGATTGGTGATTGAATGAACAATTGCTTGTCAAATGGTTATATAATAGAGTAAAAGCTAAGAAATAGGCGTTGGGATAACGTTGAATATAACTGAAAATATTGATTTTTTATACTGCTATATGGACTGTGGCCATGTGGATTTGCTAAATGATGACACACAACTGTTTGCATTTTGGAAATTATCTCTGCCGTTGGATATTACATATTGATTATTTTGCATAAATTATTTTACGTTCATTGATGAGTTTTCTATATAAACCGAAGTGTAATTGTTTTTTATCATTCGAGTTTATATTCATTGCATTGCTCTTCGCTTCACTTTCGGTCTCGCATTACTAAGGCATTATTTTTATGCAGTTCGGTCTTTCTGTTCATCTGTTCCTGCTTGCTCTTTTCTTGAACTTTTTCATCCTGAAGATAATAGCTTCGGCTTAGGTTTCGGTCATTGGCATTAAAGTTTCTTCACTTTGTACATTATTAAAATTCTGAAAGCTTATTGAAAAGTCCGTTGCTTCTGCTTCAATGCACTGTTTTCGTGTCACTAAAAGTGCTTTTTAAAAACAGTTGTCAGGATAGAAAAACTTTTATTTGTATTAAAGAGAAGACGTAAGTGACGCATTTGCTACTAGTGTTTGTTTTCATATGCTGAAATGTTGAATCAGTCTAAATTATAGTTAAGGATGTGAAAGAAGTGAAAGGGGAGATTACAAGCATTTTTGGAAATAATTGATTGTCATTTTTTGTTTCTTTGATTTCTTTTTCACTGATGTTTATAATTACTGCAAAAAGTGAGAGATTAATGTTCACAGAACACGTAAACTCTACAAATTATATATTGTAATGTACGTGAACGAATTTGATTTGTTGCAGGAAGGGACGTTGCACTACCAAAGTAACCTAATTACAAAGAAGGAGTGTATTTTTTTGCCTATATTTTAACTTTCAAATGTTTATTGTCTATTACTTCTATTAAATTCGCGTGAAAAGAATACTGGCTCGAAGAAAAATGACTTCAAAAGAAGAACGTAAAGTACTCGCAATTCAAAAAAAGAAAAAACGGAAAAATAAAAAAAAGGTAAATCTCTCTTCATAATTCAAAATATTTCGTAAGTATTGATGACATGAATTCTGTTATGTACTAAACTGAATTCTAGGTGGGACTGAATTCATTATTTCACAATTCGAACTTATTTTGGCGTTTACAAGTTGAATTGTATTGAGCAAGTCGTTTGTGTTTATGTAGTTTAGCTTTCAGCTTTTAAATCTGTCCTGAAAATAAATTCATTTGTAATAATTTCGTTTTTATCTGGAATTATTAGCTTAACGTTTACTCTTTATTGTGGATAGTGATCATGTTTGCTTTCTTTTTTATTTTTATACAGTAGGTTGTTCCAACCTTTAGTAACGAACTCTGAAACTAAAGGTTCTAATAAACATTTAGCTTCATAATTTTAACTCATATGTAAGAAGGGATAGTAACGAATTCCCATATACGCTATGCGAAGAAAGTTTATACAGGCATATATATCCAATCGATAATACTCAAGAACTTACTCGCTTATGTCTGTCTATCTTATATCTACCATACTTTTTTCTTTGAAAAGATTCATAGTCTGTTAGAAGATTATATATAAATGGTACAGAGTCTCATATCTTTCGCCTCGTTTTTAAAATATTGTCTTTCAAATGTAGGTCTTGTAGCGATTATATCTAATTCTGTTTTAATTTATGAAATTTTCAGAATGCTGCAAAGAAACCACCTCAAGTATTATCAAATGGTGCAGAACAAATTGAATCCACACAATTGTTAGTTAAATTTCCTAATTAAACTTTTGCTAGCGAAAAATGAGAGCACTTGGTATTTTTATTAAGAGAGCGAAAAACTGTTTGAGTTTTGATGTATACTGATATTCTAAAGGATGAAGAAACGAATGGATTCATCCTGTTGTTTACTAATTAGGATATTTTATGCATTGTTGTTTCTGAAAAGAGAACAGACAACGTTGTTCTATACAAAAATTTAATTTCTTTAAATTAAAAAACAAATTCGAATTGTTAAAAAGTTAATGTACTGATATTTCCAATTACTTTTGTTAAGTTTTCTTTGTTAATTTATTCGTGCCAAAATTTCGAGTATCATTAACTTGAGGAAATGTAGTTAAGACAAAATTATTTTACTTGAAAGTTATATAACATTTATACATCTATCTTGAAGATTTGAAAATGAAAAGAAAAATTGCGGACTGGAATGGAGTATTTCATCTATCTATTAATTATTGCTGTTAATTGCTCTGTAATGGATTTTCAGTTCAAAAATTTCTAATCAATCTTTTGAGTGATAATAGTAAACAGTTAATCGTAAAATTAGCTTTGAGCTATAGAAAATTGAGTTCTGCAGAGCTGTCTTGAAAAAAGATATTTACAATACATATTGCGCATTAAAAATTTTGTCGTGAGTGGTAGTTAATATTCATTATCGTATTTGAATTAGAATAGAAATTTAACGTCTATTGTAGGTTGCAAACTAGCATATGTTGCTGTGTACAGTGCCATTTCTATAAATTACAATCGACAAAACTAAAAATTTTGATGTTGCTTATATTTGAAGATACGAATGGTTTTGGACCAAATCTTTACTTTTATTGTGACATTATACTAAAAGCTTCTTTCATAATTTTACATGTTTTAAAGCACATTAAGTGGTCCAGCACGTAACTCGATTCCTTTATTTTCATACTTATTTAACATCCATCTATGTCTCTGTTGTTCAAATGGAATTGACAAACCCAAAATGTACTCTATAGATGAAGCGGCATATGTCACAAAAAATTTCATGGAGCACAGTATCTCATTTACACAAGGTCTAGCTAATTATTGTGAGCTCTCATTCGTGCTATCTGCTTTACGAACTTGTTTTCCATTTGTGCGCTCTGTATTAGTTGCTTCAGTAGAGAGAAATGGACACTTTGGCTGTTTGTCGCTTACATATAAGTAATTGACTTCAGCCAAACATCCTGTAATCATGCTATCTGACCCGTCCTTTTTAATCTCCAGACAAGTATTCATAATTTCACTGTTGCATTTGTTGACGTTTATGTATATCAACTACTCTTTGTTGAAAAATAAATATTCTCTATCGTCAAGTACAAATCTCGATTTCACTCTTGCTCGCTTCTCTTTCAACAGATCAGGTCAATTCATTGCTTTTCTGTTACAAACTTCGCACTGTGCTTAAATTCTTCATTAGTAAGATTATTAATTTCACTTTAAAATTTAGTATTTATGACACCTCATTTCCAGTCAATTGTTTTACTTATAGTAATAGGTCATAATTGTTATGGTAACACATTCCAGCAAAGTTATGCGTTATCGAAAAATTTTGCAACGACTGCTTGTTGTAGTTGTCTACCTCTAAAGGCTAAAGTTATTTGATGGTCAAGTACATTTTATGGCGTGCTTATCAGGAATTTCATTTACATCATATAAACTCGCAACGCATAAATTCTGCTGTGAGAAAGGGAGATGGTGTTAAAGTGGCAAGCAGTGCAGGAAATGTCTAACTATGAGCTGGTAATTACAGAGGCTGACAGCATTTTGCAGGGCTTGCAAGTGCTTGTGCTTGTGCTTATGCGTGCAGAGGAGAAGAGGCTTCGATCTTTGCTCAGTTGCAAATGTTTACTGTGAAGAGTGTGCGTAGTATTGCTTCATAGGATCATAGGAAGATAAGTGTCTGTATCCCTGGTGTGTCATCATAATGCTATAGAAAGTGTGGGGCGCAAACGAATCTGCTCAGGATGTATAACGCTAATGCTTTCTAACTAGCCAGTAATCAACAAATGCATGCTTAGTAGGAAATGAATAGGCCAAACACGGTTGGGGCGATCACTGCTAAAGCCTTTACCGCTCGACGTTCGCTCAATTACAGTTTGGTAGGCATGTAGATAGGGGGTGCTTGCTCATTCTTTGTTTCTGCCTCTGCTACCGTTGAATCTGCATACTATCACAATAATATACTGCTTTAATCCGGATCACTGCAAGATTTGAAGAAATATTTTTGTGAACTGTTGCTAAATCCTCAAGTCTTCAGTTTCTGCAAACTATTTCATTCTCCTTGTTCCGGATGCTTTCATCGACATATTTTGTATGTATATATAAGTATGAAAGTTATTTCTTTTTTCTGCACTATTGATTCTGGCGCTGGATCGTATTCCCGCACTCTTGCTGTACTTGTCTCGCCTCAGTTTATCTAATATTTGATGTGAGAGCAATTATCAAACAAAGGACGGCAACAATAAAAGCAAGTTTCTTTTGAGCTAAAATTTTCCAATATTGTATTCTGCTTTTCAGCGACCAAGGAATTCTCTTACATTTCTCACCATCTATTCAAAAGATAGTTTGCTGTAAAGTGACGCATTCCATGACTGATTATCATGATGATCAGAGTAGTGATATCAAGTTCACGTCTTGCGAGTCCCTTTACGAGCGTTCATAATATATCTCATTCCGCCTCTCTCTTAATTTCTGCTGCAAACCGAAATTGTTTTACTGTGTTCGTCACAATATTTTTTGCAGTAATGTTCCGAAATTGCGTCACTCATCTTCATGTTCTCATACAGCTAAAAAAAAGTCAGCCAGATTCACCATGTTTTTTTACGTTGTGCAAATCAATCAGTAATATTTTCATGTAGCTCTGATGAAGGTAATTTAAGTTGCATTACTAAAAAACTAAAATATCATGGCCCTTTGTTATTCCTCAGCTTGTCAGATTAGATAGAATTCCATTAAAAAAAAATAAAATCTCACTTTTCCGAATCCTATCAGTTTTTTTTTTCCTAGTAAATTAAGATCAGGCTTTATCATTCGCAATGCTTCAACAGTAGACAATATTAGAGAAGTTATGTGTATGAGGGGAATTATTCACTTTCTTATTCCCTGTATGCTGCTCGCTGTTTGTTTATGGAAGGATTGAGGATATCTCTTTATTGTGTCGAAGCTAGTGTTTTATTGAACACGAGTCATGCGAAAACTAAGGCACATAGAACAGGAGAGTCCATTTCAAATTATGTAACAATCTAGTCATTCACCACAATTCTGTAATGTGTTTTAGGCATAATAATCTAAATATATGGCGAGAATGTTGCTAATATTCCATTTAATCAACATGTATCAAAAAGAATGGACGTTTAAAACTAACTGTCTAAATTAGAGTTATCAGTTTTCTTCTTCTAGAACTTTTCTAGCAGTTTCTGTTTTAATTTAGTATTCATGATATGTAAAATTGTCGTCTTTTTAGTGCAAATGAAAACAAAATAGACGCAACAAACGTGGCAGTAACGACACATACAAGCAACAACAGTGAAGCAACAAAGTTGAAAAAATCAAAAACTCTCGATGGTGGTGGCTCAATAGAAACGCCCAAACTTTCGACAGGAGCAAATTCTATCATGAAATCTTCAAAAACTCTTGGAAATGGAGTTTTGCCCCAGCAGAATCATTCAGCTCCACTAATGGAGCCCAATAGAACATCGGTATACATTACACACTTGTAGGCCTGAAGTTTCTCCTTTGCTTTCTTTGATGGTGGGAAATATATCCCACAGTTAGTGTTGTGGAATAAAACTAGATTCTTATGCATTATTCCTCTCTAAAAAATTTTATTCAAATTTTACTTACTGAACTTCTTACAGTTAGGTATGTGAAATATATTTCATTTGTTTTTGTACAATAAAATAATTTAGGATTCTTATGGTGCAAATCTTCAGTTTCCTTTTACACCATCATCAGGTTCAAAATCAAAGATGTCGGATAATGCACACACTGGTCCATTAGCTGCTTCACGGAGTGCAGGAAGTGAAAGTTATAATGATGACGATGATGATGATGATAATGATGATGTTGTCATGCAGAAAAGAAAGGTATGTTGAATGTTTTTGTTATTTTTTATTGATTAGAAATCAAAAATCAGTGCAAATGTATAATTTTTTAACACCCTTTCAGTCGTTTAATAAACATTATTTGGTTTCTTGTTTTTTCTACCGTTTTTTGTAATTTAAAGCTCACAATATTCATATCAATTGACGTCATTGTCGCTATGTGAAGAAAGTGTTTTTATCTTACATTTCTAGTAAAGCATTTGTTGGGTCATTACATCTCTAATTTTTTTTTGTTCTAGTGAATATTTACAAGTTTTGTAAGAGATAATCATACATCTGAATTACAGTACTAGTTTACGCCTCATATTCAGACTGATATTAAGGAAGAAGTATTGGGAAGTGATGATGAGGAACAAGAAGACCCAAAAGACTATAGAAGAGGTGGCTATCATCCAGTTTCAATTGGTGATGTATTTAACGGACGGTCAGTTTGATCGTATATTTTTGGTACTATTTAGATACAGAATTCCTTTGTTTTGAATTAGTTTATGTTCATCATATATTTTGCAGTTATCACGTGATTCGGAAGATGGGATGGGGTCATTTTTCGACAGTTTGGCTTTGTTGGGACACAGTAATGACACGTTTTGTTGCTTTGAAAATCGTAAAGTCGGCAGAGCATTACACAGAAGCTGCAATGGATGAAATTAGAGTGATTATTTTTGACTTAGTTAAAATAAATTTTCGATTCATTAGATATTCAGATTTTTTATTCTAGTCATAAACATTAACAAGGAGACATTTTTCGAAACTTTCACATCTAATCTTCTAAAATCAATTTTCCTATTTATCATTTGATTATTTATTCGTTTTTTAATTGTTAAAGTTGCAGTTACTGATGGCAGTACGCAATACCGATGGAAATGATATGTTTCGTGAGCGAGTTGTGCAACTTTTGGATGAGTTTTCGGTAACTGGTGTCAATGGAACTCATATTTGCATGGTTTTTGAGGTTGCTTCTTGAGTGAAATTTAATCCGATTTTTTTATTTAAACTGTATCCAGTGTTTTAATCAAGATTTCTCAGCAAAATAATCCTTGATATTTCTGTAACATAATGACAATCAGTCATTCAGTTTGACGATTGTAAATTTATCAGTGTATTAAGCGCCTAAACATGAGATAATTTTTATCATATTGTGCTTTTCTAGTAGTTATTTGTTTGTTCTCAGCTGCAGATTAGAGTATTTTATTTTTGAATTGCTCAGTAACATATTTTATTGACTGGTGGGGCGGCGATACTAATAGTTTTACTTAATTCTTTTATTTAACTATATAAAAGGATTATGCAGCATCTTTTCAGGTTCTTGGGTGCAATTTGCTGAAATTGATTATTAGAAGTAATTACCAAGGTCTTCCTTTGGAACAAGTGCGTGTCATAATCAGACAAGTACTAGAAGCGCTGCAATATCTTCACGAGAAATGTCAAATAATACATACTGATATAAAACCTGAAAATGTTCTCGTCACTTTGTCACACGAACAAGTAAAGCGGGTGTGTGACATTATATCCATACATATTGCTGTCAAAGTCTACTCTTTTGTTTTGTTTCTTCGGTTTTTCATATTTTTAGTTTTCACTGAAAAATTTATTTGAAAAACTTCTAGTACTTCTACTGTATATGAAGGATGTTATTTTTTATCTTAAGATATTTGAAATACGTGGTGATTTTTTTTAACTTCTGATTTTTCCGCTTAAGATGATTTTCTAGATAATATAATATATGCTTTATTAATGAACGGATTGTAAATTCTTCTTATGGTTTTATAGATAGCGGCGGAAGCGATTTTATCAGGCAAATTGGGCTTTAAATTGTCAGGGAGCGCCGTCAGTACTGCTCCTCAACATGTGGTTAAGAAAGTGAGCTTTTATGTTGTAATAATCAAGTTTTGAGTTTTTCGACCGCTGTTACTATACTTGGTAATGTTACATATTTATTTTTTTCGAGTTTTTTATTATTATGAAGTGCGATAAATATTCTCTAGAAGTTGTTGTGCGTTTGCGAAATTTGTTTTATAATCATATTGAATTATGAAATTAGTTTTTTTTCACATTTCAACCTTTTTTAATATTCTCATAAACTTATGATATTGATCTTGCATTAACTGTTTAGGTAGAAGAAACTATGACTAAGAACAAAAGAAGAAAGTTAAAAAAGAAAAGGAAAAAACAGAGGGAACTGTTAGAGCAGCAGCTTACACAAATGGAAGGACTGACGGTAGATCCAGATGTTGTGTTGGCTTCTTTGAATTCGGAAGAGCGAAATAAGGTATTTGGTTTACAGAAATGCTAAAAACATTGCAAAAGTAAATGTTGCTGTCTTTCTTTGTTTAGTGTTGGGAATTAGATTTTAAATATAATTGCCTAAGCGTTTTGAGCATTGAAAGATTTAGACTGCGTAACATCAGTTTTACATCTGGATGTGTGTTGAAATGAAATCCTTAAGTGAATCTGTTTAATTCTAAGATCAGTTTGTTTCAAATGTGAATGATATAAGTTTTCCTTTGCAAAAATTAAATGATGTGAGATTGGTTTGTAGTTTGCAAGGTTTTCTTTATCAGTAGCAGTGGTATTGAAATCAGATGTCGATTGATGTGACATTTGCAAGGATTTTTTTTTAGCAGTGAAAAGTGTGTTTGGTTTTACAGAAAATTAGTAACGATGAATTGGAATGAATGGGAGGGTTGTTTTCATGGAAAGAATAATACAATGCACAGTTTTGTTTAAATGTACATGATGTTAATAGAATATGTACCAAGAGAAAGGAGTGCGGTAGCTTTATGGACGTGCATGCATTACAGCTACTTGGGAAACAACCCATCAGTAGCAGTGGTATTCAGAGCAGTCGTCATGCAATGCCGGCTTTGTTATGCACTACGGCAGTAGTGGCGACAAAAGTAGTACGTGTAGCAGCTGATAGAGATCATGCTAATTGCATGAAGAGCGTTCGAGCAGTTCACTCCACTTCTGCCACTTTTAGCATTGCTCAGACTGCACGTTCCCCAGTCGGTACTTCGCCAACTATACCTGCATCTGCGGCATTCTGCAACGCGACGTACATGAACGTTGATGAGCAGTACAGATGTCAACAGGTACAGGATCCTGCATGTTCTGGCGAAAATTTTGTCACAACTATTTTCTTTTGAATCATCACTTATTTACCTCACTGACTATTATGTTAATATAAGCTACGCCCTTTTACATCACTGTGAACTTGTGAAGTGAAGGATTAATTTATGCTACCTTGTGAGGTATTTCAATCCTTTTTATCATGAACTATTTATTTATTCCACTTCCTAGCATCTAATTTAATAAATGATGTGAGTTGAATTGGCCAATCAAATGCTAAAACCTCTCTTCGTATAAATTACTGCTGCTTTAGATTTAGTTTCATCCTTTAATGTCTTATACTATCTTTCAATAATATGCCTTACTCCTTTGTCTGCATGTAGATCGGAATGCATCTGCTATCAGTGAAATGCAGAACAGCAAATAATAGTGTTCATAAGTTTTGACAAGAAGGTCAGGTAGATATGTATATTATGAATATAAATAATTAAAGAGTAGAGCTTTAGAATAATACTCATTGCGCTAAAGTATTATTTACAGTTTATTCATGATATAAGGTCAAAATATTATTGTTCAGAAAATTTTTTTTAGCCTCACTTTTCTATTTCAGTATTCTGTGAAATTTTGTTTCAATTTTTTGAAAGTTAATTATAATTTGTTAATTATAATAAGTTAATTATTACCTATTTTTTTGAAGCACTCGCTATTTTTACGAGTTATGTGACAAGCAGCGCTCTGACTTTTTTTTTTGAATTAAAGCACATTTACAAATTAACATTAGCTGAATCTTCTAATTTTTTGGGGCTCTTATTATTATTAGCAGTACTGTTTATTTGACTGGTCAGAAAGGTGTAGTTGCATGTAGTTACATGCTTATAGACAGACCCAGTGTGGAAAATGCTTATTTAGATGCTGTGTGATTACTTTGTCATTCTAATTACTTTATTCTGCGTTGTGTGATATTTCAACAATTCTTTTTCTTTTAAAATCTAAATTGTCTCTGTCATTCATTTTTATTTGAAGCAAAGCAAATCGAAAGTATTGGCAACCACAGCAGAAAATTTGAAGAGCGATGGATTGATTTCTGAAAGCATTTGCTCTCACCGTTCAGCAAAGCCAAATCAACATGATCAATCTGAGGTACTTTTTTATGTGTAAAAAGGTTTAAGTTTGATTTAAGTTTAGGTAGATAGTAAACTAGACGGATATAGATGAGTGATGGTTTTAATTTTGTGAACAAACTAGCATCAAATTGTGTGCTGAGTAGTTTATTCAAGGTACTATACATCAAAGTTGGATCAGCAAGTAATTAATTAATGATTCCAAATGTAAGTGAACTTACTAATTTTAGGGCCAAGATGAACTTGTCCATGAAAATGTAGTAGAAGATCCTTTGCTTATTCCTGTTAGCGATGACAATGACCAAGGTGGGATTTTTGTCTCATTTTGAATATTTATATCAGTATATCTAAGCATGTGGAGTAGTAAAAATCTGCTTACAACAGATTATTTCATTGTCTTTATTAGTTTGGAAAAAAAATGCATTCTTTCTTTGTACACTTCGTCATCGTATTCAGCTTCACCTTGCTTCACCCAGCTAGTTATAACAGTGTTGGGAATCACCGTAATAAAGCGGCATTTTCACATCTGTTCTATAAATTTTCACCAATTGTGACCGCGCTTTATCGCACTCCTCCACTTCTAAATTTCACTCAGCATTCTTTCATTTCTCTGTGCACGTTCTCTTTCTGTTTTTATTCACTGTTTGCTTTTGGAGATTATAAACTTTTTTTTTTAAATCTAGTTTTCGGTTATAACTTTTGTTGCACGCTGATTAACTAAATGCTTTCATGGTGGTTTGTTTTTTTTCATAAAACCTTGCATTCTATTCCTTCAAGGCTGTTTCTGCGACTACCCTTTTTCTGTATGTATAATATACATGCACTTATTCTAGAGCCTGTGCGCTTTCTGCCTCGCTTTGATTCAGACACTCGCTCAGAAAGTGAGACCAAGGAATCTACTCTACAGCTTTTATTAGAGAGAGATGGTTTATCTCCTAGACGTACTGAATCGGATTATCTGAATCCTGCCACTGAAATAAACGTCAAATTAGCAGATCTTGGCAATGCTTGTTGGACGGTTCGTTTTCACTGCACTTGTTTGTTTCTCTTTTCAGATAGTTACTAGTTTTGTAGTGTATAAGTCTGCTTCTACTATATAAAAGTAAATAGAACTGATAAACTGCTTTCAGTATTTGATTGCTTCAACCGTGGTGTTATGATCAAGTAACTGTATTACAATTTGCTTTACTTTCCAAAGTTTTAGCACCACCATTTTACGGAAGATATTCAAACACGACAATATCGTAGTCTGGAGGTACTTATAGGCGCTGGATATGGTCCTCCAGCTGATATTTGGAGCACTGCTTGCATGGTTTATATTCTTTACTTTGATTTATTACATTGCATTGTTCATCATCAATACCTTTTCTATGTACCTTGTGGATTATTCTTTAGCTTTAAAATATGATATATTAACACAATTGTATTTTCATGCATTTGAATTGGCGACAGGCGATTATTTGTTTGAACCTCATAGCGGTGATACGTACAGCAGGGATGAAGATCATTTAGCTCATATAATTGAACTTCTTGGATATATTTGTCCAAAAGTATATAGAAAAGGAGCTCACTGGCGTGAATTCTTTGATAATGTAAAGTCCTTTTTTGAATGATGTTTCTGTTTGGTGAGAGGATTTATGTAGTCACACACTTTCCTTCGTTTTTGTATATGAATTTGCTGGTAGGATAAAATATCATCGTTACCTTTAGTTTATTTTTTTATTGCTCACCTACATCAAATCTTAAAAAATATATCCAAATGTAGTTTTCTTAATTCAGAACTGTGTTAGCATTGTCAAAGCAAAATAATGTTAATTGTTTAGCAGGAAATAAACAGGCTTGTTAATTACTAAAACTCATATATCAAACTGTTTATTCCTATTTTTTTTGATATCTGTTTGTGATTTATGTGACAGAAATTTTAATAGTTAGTATTTTCAGCATGGTCATTTGCTTCATATATGTCACTTGAAACCTTGGTCATTAGTAGAGGTATTAACACAGAAGTACGATTGGCCAATTGAATCTGCGGGACAGTTCGCATCTTTTCTTATTCCAATGCTTGAATTTGATCAAAATGAACGTGCAACAGCTCGGGAATGTTTGCAACACGACTGGTTAAAACCTAATGGTGGAAAACCGTTGCATAATATGGAAAAAAAGCAGAAACCGCCTGTACTTCGGAAGAAAGAAGCACACTGTCAGCCTTCAGTGCTTTATCGGCCATCTGTAGTTAATGATGATGTTAGACTTCTCCACTTTTTACCGAAAAGATTTTTAGATTTGCTAGCATCGCAATAATATTGAACGTGATTCACGAAACTAAGCGAAGTGAGCAGTGAGATGCGCAAATTCTAAAAAAATTAAATCTGATATGGTTGCTTAGATTGCAAAGAAGTGAAACTACCCAAGAAAACTAAAGAATCTATTCTATATTATGTGTGATTTACAGGAAGGTTCTTGTGAATTGGATAATGAAAGCGGAAATGAAGAAAGTGAAGAGTGCTTTTATGAAATGAATGCTGTTCTCGGTGAAGAATCCCAGAAAGCAATTTCAGGGAATGGAGGCGAGGTGTAAATGGGTTGATGTCATGAGCGTTATCTTTGACTGGTAGACGAGGAAAATCTTGTGATCTTACATAAGGTGTTTCATGCTCTGTCAGGGCACCTTTTGCAGTTGTTGTTTTTTTTATTATCGCATGCAATGATATTTTGTAGTAGTGAATGGACAAGCTTTCTGTTGTTAGCAACGATGTCTTGATGTATTGTTCTAGGTATGATTAACTTGACAATTAATTATAGAAAATGTTTGCAATGTTGTGAATAATTTCATTCCAGGACAGATTTCTGGAAGAATGCTTTGTCGAGGTTAAGGTTTTAAATGCGATGTTTAGGAACCACTCAACATTTGCTCTATTTAAATGAGCCTTTCACTATCATGATATGTGCTTTTGTCTTTGTAGAAAATGTGAAAGTTTTTTGACACATTCATATATGATGTTAAATGTAATCTGTAAGGAAAATGTATTATTGATGGAAAATTTAAGCGGAGTCATGAACAGCGAGGTTTAGAAATGGCTGTATTAGCAAGAGTAATGCAGAATGTTGGAGTATGTAACATTTTGGTATCTGTGTATATTACATAGTGTAGAAAGTTGCTGATTGAGAGGAAACGAATGGTTACGAAAGTGAAGTTAGAGAGAAGACTGATGAAGAAGGATGTGAAATGATAGGAATTAGTGTATGGAAAGGATGAGATAAGTGCAATTTGGTGAGAGTATATTCAGTATTAGTAGACGTATCTGTCTCTGATTGGTTGTTCCTTGTACTTTGTACCGTAATGTAAGTTGTGCCGGTAATAAAAGTGGAAAAGTATGCGATAGCATGCAGAAGACGTGATTGCTAAAGATTGATGCAGGCAGGGCGGTGATGTCATGGGCTTATAAAAGAAGAGTAGCACATAGACTTTATATAATAGGGCTTATCGGGTGCAGGGGGTAAGGTGGATTGTCAGTCAGCAGGTTGCGAGACAATATGCACTTGTGCGACATGAAAGTGCATGGCGTCATACGTCAGTTCTTATCCTTTCTGACAACAATCAGCAGACACACTTGCATTTGTGCTGTTCCACCCTCTTCTTGCGTCATCTTCCGATGCTCTCCTTCGTCACTACTAATTTGTACAAACAATTTATTTAGTCAGTGCCAGTCCTTCACCTCTTCCTATTATTCATTAATTGCTTATTTAAAATGCCGACGTTGTTGAATGAGTGCTTGGGTGGCTGCTATATGAGTTCATAGAAAAGTAGGTGAAGGCATTAATCAATACATGGAGGGTCTATCTGTACACATGACGTGGATAGGTAATTATTTACCTATATCCATGGAAGGGTATTTAGAAGCATGCATGTATTAGGGCTATGGTTTATAGTTTAATGAATAGGTTGCGATATTAGTTAAGAAAAATGTATCGTACAAGTAGTGTAATAATTGCAGGAAAACAATCGAGTAGTGTTCAAAAATGGAAAATTATGATATGGTAAGTATTTATTGCTATCATTAAGTATCATTAAATAATGCAATTATAATTAACTAGTAAGGATAATAAATTGTTATCAGGACCTGTGGTGCTTGGCATCAGTAGATGGCGTTGAGTGTAAAGAAAGCTTTAGCACCTTTGACGACTTCGAAGAGCACTTCGCTCAAAAGCACCTGAAACTGTTGATCTTCGCTTGTGGAGCCAGGGGATGCACTGCACAATTCAGTACTCTATCTCAAATTTCGCTTCATTTGGCCATCTGCAAGCGCAGGGGCAAAAAAGTCTGCTTCTATTATTTATTTTATGCATGAAAGATTTTATGTCATGTCACAGAAAATTGCTGTGAATTTTTCCCTTTAACCCTTTTCAACCTACAAATTATGGTCAAAATTGTAGTTATTTATTTTTATTGTTATAATTACTATTGTTATCTTTATTATATTGTTATTATTACTTATGATTATTACCACAATTGTAATTGTTCTTATTGATATGGATATGACTGCAACACAATGATTTAATGTATTATGGATAATTAATTAACCCTGGCATCAGTAAATGCAGAGATGAAATAATTAATTAGCCAACTTACAAATGCTGCATTGTTTATTTCGTTCAAAAATAAAAAAATAACTATAATAACAATGTTTTATCATGCTTTCATCTCTTTCTCATTTTCTTTCTTTAATGATATTTTACTATTATTTTAGATAAAGCTACTGAATACTCCTGATGACTTTCTGCAGCGACTAACAACTCTGAATTATGCAAAAACACTTGCTTTGCAGTGCTCTATCCAAAGAGGTCAAACATTTAATTGAACAAATATTTAGAAATGTTGTTTATTATATTGCATTGTCACTTCATATTATTCGTGCTTGAAAATGGAAATCTTTCATCTCAATGACTTCTTTTCTTATTACTATGCTTTAAACGAAAAAAAATTTATCGTTTTACATTGCTCAACATTATATTTTAATTTTCAGCTGTGCAAGAAATAAGATCAAGTGCTGAAAATCATGTTGTGAGTGAGCAAAATGCATCATCATCCAGTGGTAAGCTATCATCACTTATGACTTTGAACTTGTAGTTCATAGCAAGTGTCCACATTACTATGTACTAGACAAGAAAACGATATTGGAGAAATGCAGAATACTTTTTTCGAATTTTGAACTTTCGATACATGACATTGATCATTTTAATATTAAACTGGTAATTAACATTAAGCAAAGTTTTAAGTCTATTTCATTTCAAAAATATTAATTCATTTTGAGTCACTGTCTGTCTTTCAATAATCTGTAAGCTTTTTTATTTCGCTTCGAAAGTATAAAATTTTTTGTTTGCTTGTTACGAAATTTTGTTTGAAATCATCTACTTCTCAAAAAAATCCGTGTTCCATTGTTTATTTAATTAGATGTCTGATCTCTTAACTCTTTTTCATGAAAGCTCTAAATTTTGCGTGAATTTGCCTGCTTTTTGCTGTCAAGAAATAGGAAAACTTTCAATGTATTTATTAAGGTACATTCTGATAATGAAATACTAACCAACAACATGTAAAATTTTCAATTTATCTACTATTTATGTTATTTTTATTAAAGTTTAGTGTTACAGATGCTGTAAGAAGTGAAGTTCACATACCAATAATAGAATCTTCTGAAACAACAAATAGTAAGGATATGTTTATTAAATACGGTTTGATTTGACTGACAAAGTAAAAAGCAGATTATAAACTGTAAGCATTTGAAATGAATGATTCAAAAGCTTCTGCTGCTTTAAAATAAAACTATAAGAGAGCACAAAGGAAATATATGCTTGCATTTGTATTTATAAGTATTGCAAATAATTTTCAAGGGGAGACTATTTTAACAGTGACATGAAAATAAATTAATAGTGGTGGTATTTGTGTTAAACATGTCGATTTAAACAAAATTGAATAAATGTGAGGCTAGTCAGTTCTATTATATCATTGTAATAGGCAAAAAAACGATATTGGAGTAGTGCAGAATAGTTTTTGATAGTAAATTTTTTGGAACCTTGATAAAGATGCTAGAAGTATTTATTCGTAATTATTTCTATAAACATCAAGTTTGTTCCAGCTGTTGAAGAAAGATCATCTGATGGAAGAGAAGAACGTGCTATCACTCCCGCACGACAGGCTGCCCAACGTTTCAGAGAGCAGATGCGAATTGAAGAACAGACGAAAAAAAATACTGAGACTAAAGTCTGTTACTGATATTTAACTTTCCATTTTTCAATAAAAGACCTTTACATATTAAGATGCGTGCAGTTTTGTTTTCTCCTTAAAAATTCGAAAAGTTCGCAATCATCACTTGTAGAAGATAATATGGGCACTTCTTAAATATTACCTTGTAGTCTTTAATTTAAAAAGTCATGTTCATAGACATCTAAATTTCACTAACTTCTGCATGTGTTCAAATTAATATTTTCAAAGTTGCAGAAAACATCAAAACCGAGTAATGGAAATGGTCAGGAAAAGCAAAAGAGAATACCTATCAAAATTACAAATAGAACGAGAATCTCTGCACTTATTGATGATGACATTGGAAGAACGGTGAATGAAACAATGCATTGCAAATTTTTTATTGAACAATCAAATTTATAAATCTCAATATCTTGTATTTGTTTTCTGAACTTTTTTGCATTTTAAAAAGCTGAAACTCATTATATTTATTCACTTCTGTTGTTTTCAGAATATGTCAGCCCAGCAACAACCGAATCAATATGGAGATCGCACCTCAGGTAACAATATTTTTCAATAACAAAAAATGAAGTACAAAGTGTCGGAAAAGAAAGCATGACAGGGTATGCTTTGTCATACTTTCGTGAGCGGTAAAAATCAAAAGTATTCAAATATTTATGAACGTGTTTTTTTTGTGCATTCAATTAATTAAGTCTCGATATTAACATTCAGGGTATTTTTTATAACTTTATGATTATGAAAAATAACCGTAATTTCTCAATTTTTGTTATGAATATTAGCAAATGTAGTTTAGCGAACAGGATTTACATAGTAAAGTTTTATTTCGTTATTTTGAGTTTGTTCTTATATATGTTACTGATTTTTTCTACAACTGATGTTTTACAACGTATTTCGTTAGATTTTATGTAATTGCATAATTTTTTTATGATTTCTACAGAGGTATTTTATCATTACCGTGTTCGAATTCTATTAATTACCACATAAAAGTTGCAAATTTCAGACACATTTTCAGATTTCTATAGTGCTTACCGCCGAAATAGATCAGTTTCAGTGACAAGAATAATCCGTGAAATAGTAAATTTTTTAATCATCACCTTAAAAACTGTTTTTGTAACGCAAATTTCGCGGTACTATTTGTATTATATATTCTTTACAAGATCTTTAATCTTATTTATCTTCTATATTATATCATTTTCATTAGCTTTCTTCGTTTTAGGTCCCAGGGTTTTTGTCTCTATTATGTTATACATATCACAAAATTCATGAAAATTTATATTCTAGTGTCTGGAATTAAAGTTCATTATCATCTTGTAAAAGCAAATTTTTAGACTCCAGTACCTAAACATCGTCCAAAAATTTTTGAAAGCAGTCTTCCGGCTGGTCCAAATGTTCATTCAAGAGCTCTAGGTATGAAGTGCCTCACTTTTTTCTTTTTCGGTCACACTTACTGCACTTAAAGGTGTAAAGTAGAGTTTGGTTGTGAGCTGTTGATAAAAAGTAAGACAAGTTATTATTTGTTTTACAGCTGATCTGCAAATCTGATTGTGTGCTATGGGATGATTTTGTCTGTTTATTATCAGATGATGAAAAATTGTAAATTTAATTATGCAAAGTATTTCAGTATTGTTGTAGGTGAGACCCGTTATCGATCGTCATCAGCAAGTTGCTCTCAGACTAATGTAGATGA